TTTTTTGACTCTTCTTTCCAAAAAGGATTAGATCTGACTCACGATCACGTGTCACTACAGTTCATTAGGTAAGCTCGGAAAATTTTATCCACACATCTAAATATCTGATTTTGATCAAATCAGCCATTTTTTTTTCCTTTTGTAGCTTCTGATTATATATCTTCAAATCTTTGTCTTTATTCGATTAAAAAGTTGATGTAATCTACATCTAGTCCTTTTTTTCATTGTTTTTCTCGTGTTTTATTACGACGTTGTGGTTGAGATTTGACGGCGGAAGTTCACGGTGGGGTACGAGCCAGTTGGATTCAGATTTTTTTGCCAAGTTGATTGCTTTCTAGTTGATTCATTGAAAATAACGTTCCTTTTTAAAAACCCATTTGTTATTTGTCTTCTCAAAACGTAAATCTTTTAGCTGTGATCTGGGTTTTGTCACAAGTTAGTTTCGTTGATTTCATCATCTATGTGTTTGTGAAAATGTCTGAATGAGTGAAATTTTGTTTCTTTTTATGTTTTTAGTGTCTTTGTCTTTGATTATATGGAGGTTGATCGGAAATAGTGTAGGTAAAGGCAAGAGATTTTATGAAGAAAGATGGTTGCGGCGAAAGAGAACAAGTTTCTGACGGTGGCACCTTTCGAGTGTGCGTGGAGTGATGATCTGAAGTTCCGGGAGGCGGGAAGAGGTTGTGTTGCGTTTGATGCCTTTGCTCACAATGATGTCACGGTGGTGTTCAGAGAAAATGTGGGGACGCAACATTACCATTATAAGAAAGATAATAGTCCTCATTACATTGTTATCATCGGTAGCAATAGGAACCGTAGGTTGAAGATTCAGGTAGATGGGAAATCTGTGGTCGATGAGGAAGCTTCTGATCTTTGTCGTTGTTCTTTGGAGTTTGAGAGTTATTGGATTAGTATCTATGATGGGTTGATTAGCATTGGTAAAGGTCGGTATCCGTTTCAGAACCTGGTGTTTAAGTGGCAAGACCCCAAGCCCAATTGTAATGTCCAGTATGTTGGCTTGAGCAGCTGGGATAAACATGTTGGATATAGAAACGTGAGTGTGTTTCCTGTGACACACAATCATATCTTGCTGTGGAAGCAAGTGGATTGCCGTGAAGTTAAAGGAGATGAGTCTGGTGACGAGAAGTTTGTGGAGGAAGGGACTGGTTATGATTATGAACAATGGGGACTTGGGAATTTTTTGGAGAGTTGGCAATTATCTGACACAATCTTTCTTGTTGGTGAAGAGGAAATGGATGTCCCTGCTCACAAGGTTATATTACAAGCATCGGGTAATTTTCCTTTGAGATCATCAGATGGGGATGTCATTCAACTTCGTGGAGTATCATACCCGATTCTTCATGCCCTTCTTCAATATATATATACGGGACGGACTCAGGTACAATTTCTTATATCCTCTTCCCTGAATGTAATTGTTCCTTTTGTCTGGTGAAATGCTTTGTTAGAACCTTCCTTTTTTTTACTAAACATGGAGATTCTTTATCTTCGTCATGATTTCCTTGAACCTTTTGTTTTTGACGTAGATTTTGGAATCAGAACTTGCTCCATTGCGGGATTTGAGCTCTAAGTTTGAAGTGATGCCATTGGTGAGACAGTGTGAAGAAAGTATAGACCATTTGAAATTGAGCAAAAAAGAATTTGACCCCTGCAGAAAAGTCAAACTCTCGTGTCCTATTTCTCACCCGTTATCTGGTTTTATGTTCCCAAGTGCTTTCCCTATTGATGTGGGGAAGCTGGTAAAGTTGTACTCAAGCGGCGAGTATAGTGACATAAAAATCTATCTCAGTGACCATAGTCTCACTTTGCAATCTCACAAAGTCATTCTAAGTCTTTGGAGTGTCGCATTTGCAAAGGTGATAATCTTTTTTAGGGTAGCAGTTCTGATGTACATGATTATATTGATTCTCAAGTTTTATTTATTCTCAATGAACCTCCAGATGTTTACAAATGGGATGAGTGAAAGCCATTCATCAACGATTTACTTAACCGATGTATCACCAGAAGCATTCAAGGCTATGATGAATTTCATGTATAGCGGAGAGTTGAACATGGAAGACACTGTGAATTTTGGCACCGAGTTGATCCATCTTCTCTTTCTAGCTGACCGGTTTGGAGTTGTTCCACTTCATCAAGAATGCTGCAAAATGCTCTTGGAGTGCCTCTCAGAGGTAATTTTTTTCTTTTCACAATCCTCTAGACTCTAGAGTAAATGATACGTCTGTCTGTCATTATCATGTTTCTCTTCTTTTCCAGTGCATCTGTTACAATATGGTTTCTGTATGATAGAGAGATTAATGAGCCGCGAAGTGGGTTGCGGTTTCAAGCCTTCTGAAACTAAAAGAGAAAAGAAACAAAGTACCACATACGAACTACAAAGTAAAAAACTATTAATATTGTTCCATGTATATATTACATGCAGGGATGGCGTTCTCGTTTTGGAAGAAGGCCATACAACAAGAATAATTCTTTTATGCGAGTTTATTGGGCGCGGAAGCAGACAAACTTGGGCCTTTTCTCAAGCTAACCTCTGAACTTTGTTGCAGGATTCTGTATGCTCAGTTCTCCAAGTGGTTTCGTCTATCTCATCATGTAAACTCATTGAGGAGATGTGCAAGAGGAAGTTCTCCATGCACTTCGACTATTGTACCACTGCAAGTTTGGACTTTGTCTTGTTAGATCAGACCGCCTTCAGTGATATTCTTGAGGTGTGTTTTCTCTTTCACCAACCTACTTTTCTTATAAGATCTCTGTACCCGCTTGGAGAGTTGACCCAAAAAAAGCTGCTACATTTAGTGCTTGAGGGAAAAAGTGTTGCTCATGCACTGATCAGTGTTAATTATCGTGGATATAAATATGTACTATGGAATTGTAATGGACTCACCAAGAGTGATAAATGAGGTCTCCTCTCGTTATGGCATGTAATAAACATTTCAGCCAGTATTAAATCTTGAAATTTGCAGTCTGCAGATCTGACGGTGACATCTGAGGAAAAGATTCTTGATGCTGTTCTCATGTGGTGCATGAAAGCTGAGGAGTCACACAGTTGGGAAGTAATAGATGAGATGATGAACTATTCTGACCCCAAAATTTTGTTCAAAGAAAGGCTTCAGTCACTTGATGACCTGCTGCCTCATGTACGCTTCTCTTTGTTGTCATATGAGTTGCTTAAAAGGGTAAGTGGATCCTGACCCTGAATATGCTGAATGAACTTCATCATTTTCAGTTCAATTGATTGTGCTGATGCCATCTATGCTTAATGATTGCGCAGTTAGAAAATAGCAACCTAAGCAAACAAATCCCAGTGTTCAATCGTCTTGTAAGTTCTTAACATCTATTTCCATCTTTTTTCGCAGAATACTTAATTTGTCATTTCAAGACTGATTTTCTCTCCAAGTCCTCACTTATTTGTCTTGTGTACAGGTGAAGGAGGCTGCTAGCTTCCTAACTTCCGGATTGATATGCCCAGGAAATGAACAGATGTAAGAACTACGTAGTCATGTATCTTAAGATTGTAAACATCTCCAGGTTTATATTTCCAAATTACTCAGTTATTAAAGCTTTTCACCTCCACTTCAAGGTTCCAACATCGGAGATCGAGTTTCAAGGAGCTTCAGTACATACGTGATGGGGATAGCAATGGGGTGCTGCACTTTGTGGGTACATCTTATGGTAGTCATCAATGGGTCAACCCCGTTCTTGCAAAGGTTAACCTCATTTTTATCTTACTTTCTTTATTCATATTGTTGGAAATCGTTTTATAAGAACCATGACAAGGAATTCTGCTGGCAAAAAATATTTCCTTATACTTTGAGTTCTTTATGTTTCCAGAAAATCATCATTACATCGAGCAGCCCCACCTCCAGATTCACTGATCCAAAGGCTTTGGCTTCAAAAACCTATGTGGTATGGTCCACCCAAGTTCGCTCGTCTTATATGATTAGAATTTGGCTTGAACTACATTATTGACAAAGCATAAAATTAACTGCAGTGAAACTTCTTTCCTCTTGGATACATAATTAACCATATGATTTTGTTTTATTGGCACTAGGGTACTTCCTTTGCAGGGCCTAGGATGGAAGACGGCCATATATCATCCTGGTGGATGGTGGACTTAGGCGAAGATCATCAGGTCTCCTCCATAACTTATCTTTCTATCACATACTCTGTTTTCATAAAGACACAAACGGTCTAAAAGCTCCATAACGCAAGCTCGCAGAAATAAGAGAAAATGTATTTGAGTAAAACAAAAATTAGTTTATGTTATGAGAATATAACACGGTGAGGATTGTTGGATGCAGCTTATGTGTAACTACTACACCTTCAGACAAGACGGATCAAGAGCATTCACAAGATCCTGGAAGTTTCAGGTATCTTATTATTGCTGCAGTTATTTCATGTCCTCTTAAGACAAGGTGCTTAGGAAAATTTTGTGTTGTTGTTATTGTCTTGATGGGTTTGAAGGGATCGATGGACGGTAAAACATGGACAGACTTGAGAGTTCATGAGGATGACCAAACAATGTGCAAGGCCGGTCAGTTTGCATCATGGCCAATCACAGCAGCAAATGCGTTACTTCCCTTTAGGTTTTTCAGGCTGGTTCTGACCGGTCCAACCGCAGACACATCAACTCCTTGGAACTTTTGCATTTGCTACCTGGAACTCTACGGTTACTACCGTTGAAGCGTCTGCAATGAAAATGGCCTTTTGACTGTCTTCTACTACACGATTTTCACTCTTATCCTGTTTACCTTTTGTTCTTGTTCTTGTTCTACAGTGATCTTTGAACCTGAAAGTTTTTCTACAAGAAATGTTAAAGTTGATTCCAGTTAGATTGTTTTGATTTTTATGCAAGAGATTCCGGGCTGTGGCTGTAGAGTAATGAGTTCTACTTTGTTTGTTATGACCGGTTTAAGAATCTCATGCATAAAACTGATGAAACAGATTATCTTCTTTGAAAGTTACATCAATCTAACACAAGTCTTTGGCTATAAACAATGATTCGCTCTATCTTAACCTAGACGAAAAACGAAAAATTACAAGAGCCACAACAGTCGTGCTAATCAAAATAGTAGTCGGTAATTCAATTCGTCTACAAAATTTAGATATCCAAGAGTCTGCATACTGAAATCCGGGTGGATGTCGAAGTGGGATCAAATTTTCAACGAAAGGAGATAGAACACATATGTGTAAATGGACCCATTCACAAAGGCTGAACGATTTTGTGCTTCGACAAAGTAAGGAGGCGTATTTTAAATTGGTCAGTATCATAAAACATCCTCACTATTTTATAGCTTCCGTTAACTTTATCTTTACCAAATCCCATGGCCCAATATCCAGGGAAAAAAATCCTACCAATATGCTCCTTGAATAGCGATTGGTATTTACTGGATTTGGGCCGGAAGGGAATCTTAAGAGTTCTCCGGTGCAAGGGCAGTCCCGTCTCGATTCATCGGGCCCATGGCAAAACTCAAAATAAAATAAAATTTCTTACTAAATTTTTTTTTTGAAAACATTGGACCTTTTAGTCTTAAGAAATTTTATGAAATTAACAATGAATCCTAGGCATTAGCCTAGTCTGCCACCCCCCAGAGACGGGCCTGTGCAAGGGTTCAAAACGTTGAGATAGCCTGGTACGGGGATGCAAACTAGACCATCACACGTCATCGATGGTTGTGTGGCGGCGGCATCACATTGTAGATAGACCATCTCCACCTCTTCGATCTCTTCTAGTAGTTCCGGAACTACTTACATCATCTTATTAGTTTTTTTTTTTCTTTTTTTTCTCTCTTGTGTCTCTCTTTTCTTCTTCAAGAGTTTATAGAATCCATTTAAGAGTTTATTGGGGTTTGGTTTAATATTATTTCCGGTTTAGTATTAATTCTGGTTAAGCAACTGATTTAAACGGAAGTATGGGTTGGTTTTGATGGTTCCCCACTCTTAAGGTAAGAATCATGTATCTTAGGATTGTAAACATCTTCAGGTTTATATTTCCAAATTACTCGGTTATTAAATCTTTTCACCTTTAGTTCAAGGTTCCAACATCGGAGATCGCGAGTTTCAAGGAGCTTCAGTATAAACGTGATGGGGATAGCAATGGGGTGCTACACTTTGTGGGTACATTTTATGGTAGTCATCAATGGGTCAACCCCGTTCTTGCAAAGGTTAACCTCATTTTTATCTTACTTTCTTTATTCATATTGTTGGAAATCGTTTTATAAGAACCATTCGTGGTGTCTAGATGGGTATATCGTAATTTTTGGAGCGGAATCCGAATGTCGATGATGGACCATATTTTCAACGAAAGGAGATAAAACATGAATGTTTGCAACTATACGATGGACTCCGTTTGTCTCTGGAAAATATTTGAACAATCTCATTTCATTGTCATGAAAGAAAAGATTCTCTTTCTTAGAAACCGCTAGTGAACATATTTATTAAGTCATACTTCTCAATGAGAATATCCAACATCGGTTGACCAAAGCAAAAGCTAATCAGGTCGACAAAACCATGATGAGACCCTCTAATCCACAATTCTTTCGATCTTTAGCTATTATTACTAGTTAAAATAGTAAGTATTCATAACTATAAATTATGTCGAATGTGACCATTGTGATATCAAACGAACCCATAAATCACTTCCAATTTTTTTTTTTGAATTTAATGTTAAATTATATTCAAAGAAAAATAAACGTTTATACATAATTATGCAAACTTTTCTAAAACAAGTTACAAAGAGCTTTCATCCATGATGTTGTCTCGATGCAAACCACATTTGAATCCCGCCTAAAACATCTAAACAAAAAAAGAATACTAAACTATACTTATCTATACTTATCTAATAGCTGGAGGTTATAAAGGAGCTGGAGAGCAGAGAGCTATGCAACACCAAAAGGTTTATACTTCGGTTTGTGTTTCAGAATACAATCCACTCCATTTAGCGAGAAAGGAATGGCAGGAGGCATGGAGAGCAACCATCGACACGGAACAACTTGTCAAGTTTATTGACAAGAATATTCGAAACCGATTAAGCACTCTCAGGAAAGGAGGAGTTGAGAAGCACGTAGGCGGGATTATGATGAGTATCCTACGAATATCATAGTTTCAATTTTTTTTTTAGAATTGAAACTATGATATTTTTTAGTTAATATATTTTCTCTTTTTTTTTTCTTTTTTAAGGAGGTCGGCTGATGACTTCCATGGGGTTTTGTCCTTGGTCCAATTACTGATCTAACCTGGGCTTCCCCCATTTAATCGAATTGCTCGGTTAATTTAGCTTGTGTTTGGTTTAAGCCGGTATTGTCGTGGGTTCAAATTCGAACACCAACAAGGATCCTTCACTTTTGCCTGCAAAAAAAGTGATTAGCCATATAGAAAATTTATTTGAAATGATCGAAAAGTAAAACATGAGTTGATAAAAAACATTCATCGCGTATATCCGTTAGTAACTTCACTGTCCTGGAATTGGTCTTCTACCAGTTAAATGCTTTGTTTCCTCCATAAATGGTGATGAGACTAATCATAGCAATAGTGCTCTTATGCCTCCATAATTATCTAGGGGCTAATAAATGAAAAATATTATAAAAAGATAATAAAAAAGTACAAATGAGATTTTAATTACACACTTTTTGGAAACTAATTGGGTGTTTCTACCATCAAATGACGAAGTAGCAGCTGAGAGTAACATGGTTATTTAGGAGCTAACCCAATGGTTGCAATCAGTAAGCGCGCATAAGTCGGCTCTATTACAATGGCCACAAGTTCCCTATAAGTGAGATATTGAAGTAATCACTACGAATAAAGTTAGTTCTATTCAACTAGTGATTGAACTTTCGCCTAGACATGGTTGACAAAATATGTATTGATTTTTTAAAATCAATGTTCGTACAATCTACGACCAAATGTATTTCCATTTTATTTATATTTCTAAAAATCTATAATTGAAAATCCTCAAAAAAATTTAACCAATAGTATCAAAACATGTATTATTTATAACCTATTTATAAATGTAATATTAATTACGTATGTGACAAAAAAATCAAGTAATTCAAAATTAATTTAAGGTAGGTTAAATAGCTTATGACGAAGACAAAAACAATTATTTAAATTTCTTGGAACAAAGTTAACTAAATAGTATGCTAAATATATTTAAAGTTTTTCTTCATCTTAGCACTAAACATATTCATGAAGTGCTAATGTGAGGAAGTACGAAAAATTATTAATGTGAGGAGATTAACGAAGAGAGTCTCTGTGTTTCACGTTTCTGTTTTTATGTCATAAGAAATGAAAATTTATCCCTAATAAGAAAATTAGTTTGGTGATAAGCTTCACAATGTCTTAATGACAATGTATTAGTTTGATTACGTAAATTTTGTAAATACTTTTTTTTTGAATTATTAAAAAATTCTGGGCATAAACCTGTACATAGTGTCTTGCCTACAACTCGAGAGGCTTATGGCAAAAATTTTAAATGTGGCCTATAATTTATTCTTAGAAAAACTAATAATAAAAATATAATCTAGGGATTTTGTAATGATTAAATAAGATGATATTATATATGTAGAAATTTTCTACATTGTCAAAAAAAATTGGTCCAAACAATGAGAAAATGTTAGCAGTGTCACGACTCGAACTCACGGCAAAACCACTTGGTGATAAAAAAAAAAAAACTATTGGATAGCGATAAGTATTGGGGAGCAATACTGTTTGAAGAGATGGATGGGAAAAGACAAATCTGTGGATAAGCACGAGCGGAGGGTCGTGTTGACTAAGTCTAGCACGACGAGTCGTGTTTACAAGCAAGGGTTCATATTCCAGGTAAAGGGAGCGGTTCGGGCCTCATTGCCATCTGTATTGCTCAACCTACTATTAGGAACTGTGAACCCCGGCGAGTACTATTGACTGCCGTGTTCGACCGTCGTATTGACGGACCACTTATGCTAACCTTAAGAGAACAATACAGAATCGCGACTGTGGTTAGAATAGAAAGAAACAAGGTTTATGAAGAAGTTAGGAAGTCTGGAAAACTTAGAGAGAAGTTAGAGAAACATTGTAGAGAGAGAAAGCTTATTATGAAATTTTATGATATTTGAAGTTGTGTTTTCTTACAAGGGTTACACACTTATTTATAGGAGGTTTTAAGGCGCTGACATAAGCGCTTACCTCAGCGATACATCATCGCTTACATCATTTCTTACATAATCATTACATCAGCGATTACATCATCGCTTACATCATTATTTATTTTACATGATTTTAAACATATCATACTATATTTTATATTTTATAATTTTCATACCGTTTTAATGATCCATGTGGAACTCCAGCATATGTTCTTCGCAGCATCCATAATGATCATCTGGACATTCATACGAGTCTTCAATCATTCGTGCATCTTCTCCTGGTTGAACATTTATGTAGAGTTTGAACTTCTCTTCGATATCTTCAACATTTACTTCATCATCTGGGGATTGAGCGTCTTTGAAGTAATCGGCACAGTAATCTTGAGAAGTCACCTGGGGAGTTGTCTCTTCTTGTTTATCTTCTTTTGGACTGCTTGGTCTTCCTTTGTTGAACTTCATCATGTAATACTGTAAGTCTTCATCAAGTTGCATTTGATAGTCGACCGGATAATAAACCCAGTTGGGTATGAACGGAATTGGGAACGTTTGTCTTGCATTGTTGAGGTGAAACGCATGAGTTTGAAAGTTCTCGTATGCTTTGTTATCTTGAAGGTTGAAATCTGGACGAACTCCTCTTGAAAAATCACCGTGATGAATAAGAGTTGGAAGAGCGAGGATTTTGCTTGTTTTGCGGTTGATCTTAACGGGACGATGAAAGAAGTAGATTGAATGTGGATTGAAGAATGGGTTGAGTCCACCTCTCTTCAGCTTCTTGAATGTTAGATTCGTCGCATTTGCAGATTTTCGTAGTTTTCCACTCCAGACAGTCAATGGTGAAAACCACCTTAGGAATGTTGAGAAGCTGTCTCTTTTGTCTTGAACAGTGTTGACGTAATGGTACAGCCATTGGATGTCGAAAGCAATTCCTACAGTGTAGACGGCACATAGATACCAGAGGAAACAGAGAACTTCTTCTGGCATTTTTGAATTTTCGATCCTGTAGAGATGTGCAAACGGATAGTCAGGATGAATTCCCATTGGAGCAATATGATGACAGTTTACTCCATAGTTCGACAGGATGGTAGATTGATGTGAAAAGATCTTTGTGCGTAGTAGCTCATGAAGCTTGTTTCTGCTGATGAGTTGATGAACATCTTCGGGTACGTCTGCTTCAAAGTCATAGTAGCTTTTCTTGGATTCGGAGGAACTGGCCATCATGTGTATCTCGTCGGGCGTTTCCTGTTTTACTGGTTTTCGACTTAACATATCCGCCAAAGTGTTCTTGGTGCCCTTTAAATAGACTGACTCGAAATCGTACTTTGAGAACCATTCACTCCATCTTAGCAGCTGCTGATGTGGGACCATCTTCTGCTTGAACTGTAACATCTTGGGAAACGAAGACATATCCATTTCAATGCGAAATTTGTGTCCTATTAGATGAAATTCAAACCTCTCGATAGCTTTTTTGACCGCTAAAATCTCCTTGAACGTTGAGTGATAATGTTGCTCTGAATCTTTGAAACGACCACTCTTGTATCCACAGATTTGTCTTTTCCCATCCATCTCTTCAAACAGTATTGCTCCCCAATACTTATCGCTAGCGTCTGTCTGTAGAATACGCATGCCTGAGGAGGGAATCTTTAAAGGGGGTAGCTTTTGGACTTCTGCTTTTAGACTTTTGATAGCTTCAGTTTGTCGTGATGCCCATAAAGGAGGGTTTTTCGACAACATCTTCTGTAGAGGTCTTGTCATTCTGGAAAGGTGTGGAATGAAGTCTCCCACATAATTGATTACTCCAAGAAATTGTTGAATTTGTCGCCTTGTAAGATTTTCATCGGGAAAATCTAGAAGTTCTGTAGCTAAATGGGCCTGTGGTATGAAACTTCCTTCTTTGATATGCATGCCAAGAAAATCAATGTTGGGCTGGGCTATTATCATCTTTCTGGCTGATAGCATGATTCCGTTTTTCTTGACGGTGTCTTGAAACTGTTGTAGCGCCTGAATATGCTCTTCTTCATTCTTCGAGAAGATGAGTATGTCATCAATATATATAAGAGCTGTGTGTAACAACGGCTCGAATATACGTAACATTGCTTGTTGAAATAGCGATGGCGCCGTCTTGAGACCAAAGGGTAAGACATTCCATTGAAGGTGTCTATTTGGGAGGCAAAACGCAGTTTTGTATCTTTCTTCAGGATGGACGCCGAGTTGCCAAAATCCTGACTTCAGATCAAACTTCGAAAATATTTTTGCACCTTGGAGATGTTGGAGAAGCGCTCTTTTATTTGGTAGTGGAAACTTGACGTCTTGCA